ACAGACAGACAGGTTTATCACCTGTAGGACTTGACTTCAGGGTATGTATGTGTGTGTAGTGCAGGAACTACCTCAAGTTATGTAAATTATTAGTTCATTATGCATCATTATTGCACCCTGCACTATAGAGAAATAGAAGAAAAAACAGATTAAATACTAAACCATTGCATAATGTGATACGTCTCTGGTCAGGGTTGAGGTTCAGTTCCCTGTCGTCATTTTTGTAATGTGATCCATCTGGCTATAATCCTTGCTGCATTAAATAAAAACAGGGTTGGAAGCCATGCCCTTTTAAGTAAAGGGGAAAGCATAAAGCTGTGTTTTTAAAACCAAAGCTGAAAGACAGACGTTGCTGTTGTAGGTCTGCAGACTCCACCCCTGTGCGAGCTGGTGGTGGGAGGGGAGCCTCAGTGCTGGTCAGAAGGACACTGCCTCCTGGTTGATGACTCCTTCCTTCACACTGTCTCCCACAAGGGTCAGTGAGTCACAAATGGCTTTGAAAAATGAATTAATTTGTGATCACAACAGGTATCTTGGGAAAACTTTTTAGCTTATTGCATTTATTAATTAACATATGACCAAATGTTAAGATGTAAAATGTGGTGGGTAATTAAAAAAAAGAAGATTCCTGATCAATTTTCATGAATTGTTTTAGATAAGTATAAACAGCTATTACATTTTTTAAATGCTAAAACTATATCTCCGTCTCCTTTGAAAGGCCCTCCAGATTCTAGACCCAGCGTCATTTTGAGCGTGGACCTTTGGCATCCAAATGTGGCTGCAGCAGAGAGACAAGCCCTGGACTTCATGTTCAGCCCTGACCTCTAAAATGTTTTTGTTTATCTGTGTACTTGTATACAACATGAAGAGATGCCTTACATTAGACCTGGTAGTCCTGGGACATGCATCTCATTCCAGTAAATTAACCGCTGTGTGAATCTGCCCCAAGAATTATACAAGCCATTAGCCATGCTTTCAAGTGCTGTTGGATTTAGGGTCTACACCAAGATTTACCACATGGATGCATTACATTGTTGTTATAGGCTGTGTCACTTGAAAGCACAAAGAGCAGATCCAGCGTTAGCAACTTGGCATCATAACTTTATGCATGTGAAAACTACTGGAGTTTATTTTCAACTGTTGATGCATGTGCTAATATGCTATGGGAATGATTCAACCAGAAAAACTGTGAAAACCAAAAAAAAAAAAGAAAAAAAAAAAGATAAATATTACAATTGTAATATAAAATGATTTTTATTTTCCAAAACTGTTGCCAAAAATATTTTGACTAATATATACTGTGGTTCTTTCTTTCCCTACATACAGTCCTCTGTGTATGCTTGTATATTTCTATCTAGAAGTGCTTTCCTATAGCTTTGTTTATAACTGATTGCCATGCAGTGGTTTACATATTATACAACATATAGTACTGTGCAAAAGTCTTGATCCATCTGTCAGTTCTTTATATTTTGCTAGGAAAATGGGACGTAGGTGCAGTGATGTATTGAAACATATAAGAACACACATGATAATTCAGTACATAAGGTAAAAATAGAATTGTAAAATTATAATAAGCTTGAAATTCAATACTTAATATAAACATGTTTATTCTTTGTAATAATAATAATAATAATAATAATAATAATAATAATAATAATAATAATAATAATAATAATAATAATGATGATGATGATGATGATGATGATGACGATGATGATGATGTTGTGTGGCTCAAAAACTTTTGCACAGTCCTATATGAGGCTTTTGTCAATGCTGTTTGGAAATCAAAAACCAAATAAATGATCAAACCATTATTGTCTTGCTATATATAATCAGTCGGTACCAAGGGGCCCAAATATCATCTGGATGGATGTACAGATGGCAGTATGCGTCTATGCTTTTATGCTGTTTACACAATTCTGACCCACTATCTTAATGTCACACTGGAAACTGAGACTCATCAGGGAACATTTTTCCTGCACAATGTAGTCTCAGTTCCCTTTTTTCAGCTGACAGGAGTAAGACCTACTGTGGTCTCCTGCAGCTGTAGTTGCTTTACGATTCCACGTTATGCATTCAGAGATGCTCTTTTGCATACCTTGGCTATAAGAAGTGGTTATTTAAGTCACCGTTGTCGTCCTTTAAGGAGTCTGACCATTCTCTTGTGACCTCTGCCATTTTCAGCAGGAGAACTGCCGCTCACTGGATATTTTCTCTGTTTTGGTCCATTGTCTGCAAACCTTAGACATGTTTAGGTGGGAAAATCTCAGTGGATCAGCAGTTTCTGAAATATTCAGACCATCGCATTCGACACTAACAACCAGGCCACGGTGTAAGTTCTTCATGACAGTTTCTACATGCCTAAATGCAATAAGTTGGTGCATTGAATATTTGAATATTCTTATTTGTATATATTTCAAAACTTAATTATTTAGGTGAAAATAATTATTTAGGGACATGGGTAAGTTTATAGTCTAAAAAAAGGTATGCAGTCTAAAACATATCACACAAACACTTTAATGAATGTGTCTTTTAATTCAAAACATCATACTGAAACACATTCCCAATCATTTAGGTCATTTAGCCCTTTTTTGCTTCCTTTTTTTAGTCAGGAGATAAGAATTAGTGTGCCGATTTTGTCTTATCTGCCATCTGTTCCTGTGAGGGTCCCATGATGGGGATTACACTGACTGAACTAATCCATCCCAAAGAGACAGATTATTCCCGAGACTGTTTAAATGCAGTTGTATGGGAATGGTTCATTCAGCAGGGGACATTTACTGGGAAGAAATAATGAAGCTTTCAGTCATTAGCAAATAGTATAACAATTTAAAAGCGAGTAAAAGAAGATTTTTTTCAAAATGAAGAGATATGAAGTTAAAAAAAAAATAAAAAAATTAAACTTTAGTAAAATTTAAAAATAAAGTTAAACTTAGATTGTAGAGATATTTGTATGCCACTAATGGCATATTGCAATATTATTAGTCATCCAGTCAGAAAGAATAATTAAGTAGAGTTTTTTTTTGCAAATGTAACAACGTTCTATAACACATATTATTTGTCATCCCCAGCCTTGATATTAGTCTTTAGAAACTTAACCATTACATGTAAGTCTGAAAGATGAAAAAAGCCTTTGTCACATGCAAGAACACACATGCTGTTCTTTTGTTATGCAACAGAATGAGCAACTATAGAGGGATTTTCAAAAGTGCAAGATGTCTAATATGGAAAGTGGTTGAAAAATAAATCTCTGTTTACTATCACTGGCAGTCTGCTGTTTGGAAATTACATCAGTCATTAGTATTCAACTGTTCAATTGTTGAGAAAACTGTCCAGTAATAAATAAAATTCCATGGAAACAGCCATACTTCAGAGGTTTATTACAGATTTTGCAATCTTGACTTTGAAGAGAAAAGATGCTGAATGATTTTTACCCAAATAATCGAAGCAGAGAGAAAAATGGGATACAACAACTTCAACCTTTACACAACCTGCAGTCTGGAATAAAATAATTTTGAGAATACTGTCTATTTGCCATAACAGGCTGATCATAGTCCTGATCATAGAGGAAATAACTTCAAGCTGTGACTGTCAGTAAAGAAAATATCACCCATCCCAGAGTAACATCTGTGTCCTGTTCTTCTTTTTCCCAAAACAGCTGAGCCTGACTGAGCTCATGAGAACAGACAGTGGAGACACAACCAAAGAGCAAAACATTACAAAAACATGCATAAATAATACTCATTATTCAATAAATATCACTTTTTTTTTTTTACACATATACAAAACACTGTATTAATGATGTTAATTTGGTCATGGAAAATGATGATTATTAATTTTTGTAACTATTTTTTTCAGATATTAATTTAAAGGTGCCAAAGCAAAGAAAAAAAAAGAAAAAAATTACAATGGTGCATCTCTACCACAATCATCACATATGTTTTAATTATCTCACATGTCACAGAGCAATAAAGAAACCTAATCTCTGATGTTTTATCCAAATAAGGGTTATTAAAATCCAAGAACACAGCACCACTTAGACTACACTTCCTGTCTGGTGATTAGCAGTAAAAGTGGGGAAATGCATGTATCTGTTCAGGGAATACAGTAATTAGCGTGTCAGTAAACTCCACTGCTAAGTTAAACTGCAAATCAATGACCTTCTGTAGTTTTACATAAATTGCAATCCTTTTTCTGAGCCAAAAACAAGAATTTCAGCTAAACATGCAGTACTAATATAGGTGAAAATGTCCAGGAAGGAATTCATGCAATGTAAATCACTTCCAGCATGAAATATCAGTATGCACTGCAGCCCACCAAGTCTGTCCAGATCATAAATTAACTTAATATACTGTAGAGTTGCTATTTTTAATTTTTTATATTTATTTATAAATTTTAAAAATCAAACAATGACACAGATACAACCTGTCATTTTTAACTTGGACACGTTCAGAGCATTAAGAAAGAAGGGGACAAGTGACAAATACACAAAATCAGGTCTGGCTTTCTAGAGCTAACAAATTTTGACAATAGCAAATCCATAAATTAATAAGTAAGATTTTTAAAAACTAATGAGTGCCACATTATCTAGCAGTGATGCAGGAGCCCATTACCAGAAATTACAAAACAACAATAACAGAAAACGTAATAAAAATACATCCGCTCCTTTCATCATTCCTCTGTTCTCATTTCTGTGACATCATTTTCACAAACTCTGTAAAGAAAATAAACATAGTTTCAATAAGCTATGTTATTCTTGCTCCGTGAAGCTACAAATATTTATTCATTCTTATGTAAATGTTGCAGCCTTGCAGCAGCATTATTGATGACATAGATTTGCCAGCAAAATTGAAATATTGGTAAATACGTGTGTAATAAGTTTTTCTACCGAGGACTGTCACAGTATTGGGAAGACAAATTTTGAATATGTACTTGTCACAACAACAAAAGCACAAGTTAAACTAACTTCCTTTTCCTTGAGGTGAGTGTAATTATAAATTGGCACTATATAAGTTAAAACTAAGCTGAATGCACAACTTCTTTATGTTTCTTTAAGTTTCCAGTTTCACAGTTATAGTAATAGTAATATTATTATGTGAGGTAACACAAAATAATATAAAAAGTTGCTGTAAAATGAAATATTTTTTTTTGTGGTCTATGTTTGTTTAACTTACCCTCAAAGTCAACTGTTCCATCACCGTTGTTGTCAGCCTCCTTGACCACTGCATCAATTTCATTTTTGCTGGTGTGTTTGCCCATCAACTTCAACATAGCATGTTTCATCTCATCAGAAGTGATAGCACCATCGCCATCTAAATCAAACTGCAGAAAAGAGGAAGAAGCCATCCAAATATTGCAAACCTTTTAGAGTTCTGCTGCATGAGTTTCATGCTCTAACAAAGTTTTTTAAGGTAAGTTCATGCACTGTCCACCATGGGGTGCCAAAGACCACAAAGTAAGTCAAAGGTATGCTTACCTCTTTGAAAGCATCTTTGAGTTCCTTCAAACCAATCATCCCTGCAGTTTCATCCAGAAGCTTGGGGGTCATTAGGTCGACAAAATCCTCAAAATCCACCCGCCCACCAACTGCAATAAGATTTCGATAACATAGTTTAAGCCATAACATAGTTGATAACATAGTTTAAGCAGGGCATTTGTCTTCCTGTGATGATGGACTAGAATGAAGTACTTTACAATAGTGTTTCTATGGGTTTCATAAATGTCCATATGTACACACACTGACATACAAAGAGCCAAATGATCATAAAATGCATTATGATGAC